AGGAAATCGTAGGCCTCCAAACGACAACTCTAGCGATAGACGGGTCCCGTTTATCCTACCCTTCATCTCAAATGATATAAGTACAGCTATAAAACGCTGCTTAAGAAGGGCGGGCTTAGAGAATTCGGTGAGCGTAGTTGAAATACCACCGAGTAATCTTAAGCGCCAGCTAGTTCGTAACCGCCTATATGACCGTCTATGTGCAACTCAAAATTGCATAATTTGCCCCAGTGGTAGAGATGATTGCATGAGCTCGGGTATAGTTTATCTGATCTCCTGTAAGTCGTGCGGTGACGAATACATTGGCGAAACGGGCAGACCCCTGTGTCCGCATAAAAGAACACCTAGCCGGCAAACATAAACCAAATACCCCGCAAGGCACGCATAGAGCCCAGAGACATAACGGGGACGACTTCGAAGTATGTGTCACGATCCTCGCACACGAATCAAGAACACAGGCGCGAAAAACTCTCGAGGCACTCTGGATTAATTCCAGAAATCCGAAAATGAACCGCAGGGAAGAATGCCTCATTATCCCGCGTGATATAGGGCAGTATATAAAACTGCTTTTCTGATGTGAGGGGCACATTATACTTCCACGTGATTTCTGTGCGGTTGGTCTCTACGTGACATACTTAGTGGAAACCTCATAGAAAGCGGTGAGTGTGCAAAGCTGTGTTCAAAGTGATTGAAATCTTGGTTTGGGGTTTCTTTGTTTGGTTGTGGAGGCGTCTGGCCGAGTAGATTGCTATCAACTTGACCTTTCCAGGCGCTGAGGAAGGCGAAATCCGCCGAAACGTCAGCTTATTCGTGAATAGAGAATAATAACACCTCGCGTTTGCTCAACAAAAATACGAAGAACATGCAAAGTATTCGAAGACGACTGTAGAAGATGAATGCGTGGAAAACGAATCGAAAGCAGCAAGAAGTGCTACAATCCACACAGCACATGTGATGACGATTGACGTGAAATAAAACACAAAATACAGACTACTTAAGAGAAAGAAATGAGCGGAGGAAATATGTTGACGAACGAACTACGGAACAAAAAACAGAAAAGAAAAGTGGCGATTCTGCTTGTAAGAAGTAAACAAGTCAGACGAATCATATGGACCACATAAATTATTATGCCTGTTGAAAAATTGATTCACACAAGAAACATAAAGGGCAATTCATTCGACGTTAATTCGCCTTCTTCTCGATGACTTCCCTTCCTTCATATAACTTTTTTTATTATCATTTTTGCATACACTCGATAGCTTCGCCAAACCAGCTGCTGTAACGAATGTACTCTTGTATTCTATCCTCATAAAAAATGATAAAGCTCTCGGCGTTCATTAATCCCTGAGGTGTTGCCCTACCGATGTATCGAACCGGTGATGCTACCGCCCGCCCGGACAGGTCTGGTACCAATTTGCCTACCCGGAAGGGATGGAGGGGTTGGTGGGCCTGGGGATCGTCCCCATGTGTATTGCGAGGAGCCTACGACCACGACTCTACACGCACCCCCTGGCCTCATAATTTACTAGAAACTGTCGAATTAATTCCTTCATCAAGCCAACATAGACTGTTACCAATGAAAGACCATTGCTGGTGAAACACATCACAGAAGAGGAGGGTACAAAGCTTCCTTTGCTAACATAAACATATATATATATATTTATATATCAGTTCAACAGCGACTCATTGTCTCATCGAAAAAATGAGAAAGAAAATGAATATTGCCTATGACTATGCCATTCGACTTTCCTTTTACAATTCGAAGGTTGAAAACAGGGCACGTATTGGTTTTAATGCAGTCTGAAATCGGGGAAAAACGACGTATCGATACGAATGTGTTAAAGTAACATAAAAGAGCTGTACACGATGACAGATTTAAAACCATATTTATGAAGATGTCCAGTGTAAGAAGAGCTTTCTGCACGAGATTCTATCCAAACTTTGGTGTTATCATTACGACAGTTAGTTGGGGTCAATCTTTAACTATAGATGGCTTGATAAATTATGAACTAACTGTTTGATGCAAGTTATTTGAAGGAAAACCAGTTATACGTTGACGGATTTCTTCCAATATCAACAACAATACATCGAAACCCTACAAAACTGTAAAACAAGCCTAAACCTATTAACCTACAAAGGACACTTTACAGTAGAAAAGAGCAAAAAATCCAATACGTCAATATAAACCTGACAGCGATAGTCAAAGAAAGGCTGACCATCTAATAAAAGTATGCAACTTCCTAAATATGAACTGCTTTCCTAACACGTTCAAATCCACGCTATGTGAAAATATGGGATATTTCAATCATATAACAGCGTAAAAATTTCTTACTATTGACGTAGAAAACAAAGCATTTTGAGAATAGGAAAAGGATTATTACGAAGCCCTTTCTGAATATTCTGCCGGTCTATCGATGTTGATGTCATTTCCGTCCTCATTAAACATGTATCTATCGTAAATTTCGTTAAAAAGACCACCACATGAAACGACTGCCCTCAACTTTGTCGCTAATAGGTACGAGCCAGAAAGTTTGCGATGTAACGAATAGATCTCTTCGGGAGGTGATGTTAATCTGAAGTAGTTTATATATAGATAAGTATATATATACATACATATATGTGCACCTGTACATATACAACTACCCACCTGTGTTCTAACATGACAGGTATGAGCTTATGTATACGCTGTGTAACGCTCTGTCGAGAAAAGTCATATGGATGACTGCTTGTCAACGTCTCTCCCATAATCAAAACTGATTCTACATGAGCGCTTTCCATTGCAGATGACTCGTAACCAGTTAAAAAACCGATCTCTCGCGACATCCTTGAATCAAACAAAACATTCTGATCTGCAAAATAGGACGATCTTAAAGAGCTCGCACGGCCAATAATATAAATTAGTGAGGTTCTAGGCATAATTCTTATCACCGGACCAAGATTGGAAAAAGCGCCGCAAAAATAACCAATTTCACGCCTTCAGCCATGACCCTTGTGTTCATACGAGACAATTTGCAGTGAATTTGGTGCATTGTCCTTCCGGTTGTTTCCTTTCCACACACAAAAATTTCCTCCGGTTCCTTTTATATCAAACAATATCCTCTACATCATAGAAATATCAAATGTCGCCTAAGAAAGGTTACTCCCTACACCTACAATTTCAAGAAAAAAAAGACAGCTTTTGGCAAATTCGCGTGTTGTTTGATTTGAGTTCCTCACCAATTCCTTATCTTTTGTACCAACGGGAAATATTTAGCATGTTCCAGGTTTGAAAGGTACGAAGGACACTTTTTAATTTATTCTACATGACTAGTAATCAATTCTACTGTGCTTATCCCAGCATTTCTTGGGTTCGATTCGTTTTTCTTCGCACCATCGTCCACAATAGTCTTCTAACATTTCGCGTGTTGCTTCAGCTGCTGCTTGTAGATTTCGACTTCTTTATGAATTCGTAGAATCCCGGTTAAGTAAATCCTCTTTGCGATCTTGGGGATAGCTGCGCTAAGGCGTTCAGACGTAGATTGAAGGAGAGCGCTGGGACGGAAATGGAACAATGCCTTTTGCTTCCTCATGAGCGGCATCACTACCCACTGCGCTATCCCCACCCCCACTAAGCCGACTATGCTGCACAAATGCAAAACGTCACTACCATGAGGATTCCTTGGCTGCTGTGCACATAAAATAATACCACACGTCATTGCTAATGAAGCTCGATGTTTCTGTCAAGGGTGCCCCTGCGTGGTGAAAAACTAGGATGCCCAGATTCAAAGGAAAGTGGAGAGTGAAACTTTATATACTTACTCAATTATCTTCCGAGTGTCCCCATCTGACGCTGCTTTGATTAGTTTCATATAGCGGTCAACGAACTTCTTGTTGTATGAGCGAGATGCTCCAAAATCTAGCAAAACCATACGCGGACCACCTGAACAATAGCTAATATTGGAATGTATGTAGAAAATTATCATTTTCAACGTACCCGAAACTGGATGGACTCCCAAGAAGAAATTCGACCAATTCGGATCTGTTTGCATAAACCTCCAAACAAATATCTGACAAAGTATGACAGAAGTCAGTTAATAATGCCATAGTAAACAACGTATTAGCAAAGAAGAATTTGTCAATCAAAAAATACCTCACGAAGACACAATTCAATGAACTTTCCAGCAATGTAGTCGCGAACAACTTGCGGCTCATTCACGCATTTGTCAACAGATTCTCCGATAATGTGTTCAGCTGTTATGACGCGGTCCGTTGTAAGACACTCCACGACCCAGAAAAGAAAGATTACAGAGTGATGAACGTGAAACATCCAATCATATGATAAGCCAGTGTCTCAGTCAACTTTCAGCTTCAGCCAACAAGGGATAAAGCATTCAGTATTGATCGATCTGCGGGTACTACAGAGCAAATTTGTTGCCTTGTATGCGCCCCGCCTCAAATGATACAATAGAACTACATATTTGCAACACTGAGAATGTATGAATGCTGTTACACAAACCTCGGGTACATAGAAGTCTTCTGAATCAGCAAGAAGCTCACGGAACTTCTGCATAGCCCGAGCCTCTCTCATGTAGTCACATTCCTCAGCAAGCTCTTTACGTGCGACCTACACTAATAAAATGAGTAAGCATAGGCGAAGATATCTCCACCCACCTCCACGAACTTCTCCAAGAATAGTCCTTTAGGGAAAATACCTCCTACTGATAATATAGAAACAAGGTTATTAATATCCGAATCAATTCCTAAACAAGAGATCCGCTACACTTAGGAAAGTGAGATATTGAGATGCGAAAACAAGAAACAAGCGAAATTCAGAAAAACAAAACAAAACATATAACTTCTGCAACTCCAGGATACTGGATTTTCACGGCCACTTTTCGTCCATCTAACAGAACAGCTCGATGAACCTAAACGACTAAAACTGGTCTAAAACTAAGGAATGGTTCAATAAAAAAAGGATAAAGCTCTCGGCGTTGATCAATCCCTGAGGGATGTACCACGCATTCGACTTCATTAAGCCACGATAGAGGTGACTGAATGTATGACTGACCCACACAATGACTCGTGGTGACCTATCGATGTAACGAGCCAGTGCTACTATCCTCCTAGTCAAGTTTGGTTGCAGTTTGCCGATCCTGGAGGGATGCAGGGCTTAGTGGCCAGGGGCTCGGGGTCGATCCCACATGTGTGTTGCAAGGCACCTCCGACCACTACGCCACGCGCCCCCACATACTCTTCAGTACCATTACTATATAAAGAATAGATGTCCAAGTATACATATAATGCACCTGTCCTATAGAAGCCGCTGCAAATGGACGATCTTCGAATGAAGAGAAACGCGCTTTCCAATCTGCACCAAACGATGCAACCATTTGTTTCTCCACCTGAACACTCAATAGTTAGAATAATTATATCCATAAACGTGAAGAACGTAGATACCTGGCGTCTGGGCATGAAATCTGCACTTTGCCGAACTCGCTCGAATATTTCTAGAAGGTAAGCTGGAACAGTATCAGGATCTTGTATTGAAAACATCTGACCAAGTTTGAGAGCAGCTCCTCTTACCTGGATATCTCGTGCCGTAATAATGATAGAACAGAAATCCAAAACAGTTGCCAGATATCTAGGAATTGTAACTAGCCACAAACCCGACATAAAGTCTGGACGATGCGATCAGCGTTTGCGGAAGAAAGAAAAGGGTTTCGAGATAGTCCTTCGGCAAACTGTGAGCCACCAAACGACAATGTCCTACGAGTAACCTCAGCTGCAGCACCGCCAGCGAGCCCAACTGCCAATCTTCCGAATGATGCGAGCCTGAAAAAACAAACTGGCTTCTCAAAAAGTAGAGATGACGCAAAAACTAAGCACAAGATCCTAACGGTCTTTAAATAAAGCCATAAGGAATCGATACATACCGGCCGATTCTCGTTGATGGGACCCTGGTTTCTCTACTTTTCAACAATGCATCCGTAGTTTCACCATATCTGACACTATAATTGATTGGAAGCTTAGGTCTATAGACGACACTCGGCTTGACAAAAATCTTCTTCTCCGCCTCCATATCACCAACAGATTTCGCTGCATTTATAAGAAATTCCTTTTCTTCTGGCGTAAGACCATTGTCTAGTAATGCATCGGTTGTCGTCTTCGAGGTATTCTTCGAGTCCGTGGATTCTGAACCCTCAAAACGATCCTTGTCTTGTGCTATTGATCCAAGCCGTTGAAGACTGGGTAATGGGAGATTAGGTAACGAAAGCACTCCTTTTGAGACTAACTCAGCCACTTTTTTAAGCTCAGAGATTATGCTACTGCTGAAATCCCGTTGAGAAGCGCAGATTTTCTCACCAGTAGGTGATACAGTGTAGCCACCGTCTCCAGGAAAAACGCCCTGAGATGCTAGTTCTGCAAATGTTCGAATTCCAACAGCAACAGTGTTAGCCCGTTGTAGGATATCCCTAGTAGTTTCAACCAATTTTGTTGACGATGACGAGTTTTGGGGATCTAAGGGATCGATCACAGTCCCTCCCATAACTGCTTTACGTAGACACGCTTTATTGAAATCTTCTTCGAGTCTTCTACCTTCATAACCAAGCTGACTGCGGAAAATCAATTGCACTCCACGAAATATCGGTCCGATTTCATTACGGCACCACCTGAATGTGGATGTTGATGCGTTAACCGGCATCTGAAAATGGCTTTATCAATAGACAGAATATACACTTGTTTATTAATTGCAAACAATACATCGATGGAATCTGTCCGAATTGTCGCCGTTACTGGGCAACTGAAGGGCTGTTATCTAGGAAACTAACAAAAGGAGGGTGTATGCACTCGATGGAATCCAAAGTAGCCAAAAAACTTTAAACTAACTCTTTTTTTCTAGAAATAGGTGGACACAAGATACGGATATGCATAGGATATTACAAACGGTTCTTTCAAAACAATAGGTTGCAACCACCAACTAACGACGGTATAATAACGTGGAGTAATCACAATACAACTGGACATAATATTATTAGAGCACGTTTACTTAACTTGGTTTCCTTTTTAGAAGCCTTCTACGTTTTACGATCTGCGAATTTACGATCTCTACAATTTCACGATCTTCAGTACAGATACGAAGTTGATATGTTCCGAAAACCAGCAAAGAAGCGCCCACAAGTCCAGGTAAGATTCTGTGGTAGACGTCTCTTCGATGACTTTTTCTCCAGTTTCTTTAAAAACGGATATTGTGTAGATTTTATGTCTTAACCGCTTCTGCTTCTGTGTATGTTGGTGCTTTATATCAAGACTCTTGAATACCAACAGATGATTGACCCCCCTCAGGACCAACGTATGTTGCAGCATAAATTGGCAATCACTGACCTTGGGTACTGTTATAATTTATTATGAGAAAAAGACAAAGATTATGTACTGTCACTTCAGTCAGTGGCAATGGAATCAGGACAACACGTCTTTATTAAACGATGTACGTTATGGTTGTGATAGGATTGGAAGGCCTATCGTTATTTCAACTAAGGACGTGGTCACTGGTTGCTCTAATTGGCAAACAAAAAGTGTATTTCCCAACCTATTCACTATTTATTTAAATGGAAAAATTCAAAGCTGCGTTCCCACATATTCTTCACCACTTCCGTCGTTGCATTTTACTGCCTTCTCTTCCACTCTTTTCCTGTAAATTTGTATCTTTTCCTCGATATTCGTATACCTTACAGGTTGGCTTCCATCAATGTGTTTTTACCAATCACTTTCGTAAGTTTCCTTCTCCTTATTGCTTTCTGTCCTGCTCTGTTTTTGACACAGTAGGGGATAGCCAGGCCATGTAGAGAAATTCGTTGCCCTTTTTCGAAAACGTCAAGCATGTGCCTTGCACATCCCGTTCTCCATCGTACTGTTTTTGTCCATTTTATGAAACTAATTTGACTCGAATGCGATTTTTTAATACAAAGCGACTGATCAGAATCAGCTGCAGTCAAGGATGCTTATAAATTGGCTTTCATCTAAGCACGGTGGGAATGGTTAGTATGTTGACTTGTTTAAATTGTTGAGCTTAGACAAGCTTGATAAAATGTTTCTATTCGGCTAGTATTTCGATGTCTTCGTCTCCATCAGAGCCGATGATCCGTGGTCAGTATGTTAGTTTATTGCTATGCTTGTACCATATTGGTAAAAGAAAGTCTTTGTTGTAGCTGTTTTTTGTCTGTATCGCCATCTTCAGAGCCTCATTGATTAGAGCGGTGTGCACAGCACATTAATTTCGTTCATTTTCTGCGATACGTGAGGAGTTTTTGGAGTCGCACCGAATTGAATCGCGTGAGGCGGAACACCGCAGGACTGTGAACGTATGAGAGGGACAGTGACATCCCCAAAAGGCAAACCGCAATAAGAACTTTTTGTCAATGTCGTGTAAGGAAACGGGTAAAAATTTGGCTCACTCTCACATCTTTTCGGTCGCATGTATGTTCTGGTTTTGTTCATCAGCATCTCTGTTAGTTCCGTTGTGCTTCAACCTTCATCCACTTAGATCGTCGTGTTGAATCGCAGGATGTCTTGTCTCCTCCACTCATTGATATGTTGAGTGTTGGTTAAGAGTGATTATTTCTGACATCCATAAATACACATGCTACGGCACCCCCAAGTATGCACTACAAGCAGCCACCGTCGTTTTTTGAATGAGACGAAGACTTGCTAACATGCAACAAAGGTTACCTCAAGACGGCAAGGATTCTTACAGTTTGTTGGCAAGCCTATCAAGGATGGTGAATAAGCCGAATCCCTATGTTGTAAACTTGTTGCTGTTGTTGTTGACTTTGTTCATAGCTGACGTTTCGGGGACTTCGCCTTCCTCAGTGCTTTGTCGTTGGAGCACCCGTGTGTTTTTCTCGAGCGATGTTGTAAACTTAATTCTGAGCGGAAATATTGAAGACATTCAATGAATAGTACTTGCTATACTTCTATGTATATCAATGGAGAAGTAATACAGTCGTACTTTTGAACAACTTTTAAGCAATTTACTTGAATTCTTCCTTTAATTATGTATCTTTTTCATTCATATAGGCTCGTCAGCGGGACAATGAGAGTTTGTTTGACGATGGTGATGTGGAAATCGTTAAGGGCCTTAAACGACGAAAGCGTACTAATCCTCTTCAGCAATCTGTGAGTTTTACTGCTTTGACAAATTGTGTGGATGCGATGTCTGTGTTGTTAACGTTGAAGTTTTCTACATTATCTGTCGAACCTTCTGTTATATGTAATAGAGATAACTTTAGACAGTGAAAGATTTAAAAACAGCAGACGCCACAGAAGGCACATCGAGTGATTCCGGCGAGGAAATCGGCGGTGTTGTTGTGGAACACTCTTTCGCTGCTAGTGGAAGTTCTGCTCCGCTAGGGCCAAGTGACCAAGGTTAGTCGATTTAAAATATTTTTAGTATTGCATATGTTTTATGCCAGACTTTTCAGGAGCTACTGCTACTCTAGACATTGACACTGAACATGAAGCAGATGCCCAGGCACAATTTGAGCGTGTACAACAACAGATCAAGGAGGGTCTCGTCAAGGTGTGCTCGTTTCTTAATCTCAAAAAACTACTAAGTTTAAAGAATAGACATTCAAAATTTGTTTTGATACATGAGGCTCGGTACTGATTTTTCGGTAGTTTCCGATGATTTTTTCGATCATTGAAGTACTCTACAGGGTAAGAACCTTAAGAACTCATGCAGAGGATTTCTCCTGTCGTCTCAATGAAATATATAATCCTGAAATGAAATATATAATCTTCACAAAATATGGGGTTTAACACGACGTTCAATCTTTGAATAGATGAAGACTGGATTTCTTTAAACCTTAATTCGAGCACAGCAGCCACAAATCTTGCTTAGTAACTTTGTTACTTTAAATTCGAACTGCAGCAACAAAGAGAAAAAAGAAATTAATTTGTGGGCTCTAATTTCTTGATTTCCGACATATATGTCTATATGTACACAAAAGTATAGATGTATGTACATATCATTTATTTTGCATGACCCGTCTTCACATCAGCTATGCGGAATCTCAGCACTTCTTACATTCCATTCGTTTATTCGCATCCATCATCCACCAAGGTCTTCGCACTTTTGTGTTTGGGTTGTGCTGTTTAGATTATTCGTTATAAATGTCTCAATGCAGGTCGATGTGGTTTTTCCTGAAAGTCCTGGGATACCCGTGCTGAAGCACTCCCACCTGGATAGCAGAGGGAATCGATCCCAGACAAGTCTGGTTCAATCTCACGGTGGGAACTTGTTATTCGTGTCTCTTCACCGAAAGCAGGAAAAGTGTTATTGTCTACTCGCGATGATCTTGACGACATTACTTCACGTTTTTTACTTTTTTGGACTACCTATAGAGTTCTTGGTAGTTACTATAGATGAGGATTCTTCTATGCTGACTTTCTGGAAATGACGTAAATGACCTTCGATTGGATCTGTTACTCTGTTTTCAGCTTTAGTATGAAACATGTCAGCGAATTGTTTTTGAGTTGAGAATAGCTTATTCGATACAGATTTGGAGACGTTTCGATATCGTATCATAGTCTTTATTCCTCTCATGTTCATGCCAGTCATAGCAGGACTTTAGTGAGGATGAACTCGATGTGCTTCGCTTGTTTTCTTATTTTCTTTAGTATGATCACTGGATCTTTTTTCCTACTTTGTGGCCAAGGCGTAATTGGATGTAGTCAATGTCAGTGTGAATTACACAGTTTAAGGATTGCAGAGTGGACGACCTTTTTTAATGGAGAAATCTTTCCCATGAATACACGGAGAGAATAGTCCATCGATCTTATTTCCACTGCGTTACCGAATATTCTGATCCTGCATTCCTGATTTTGTGCGCTGCCTCTACCTTTGCATTCAAGTTACACAGGTGGGATTTGTAGAACTACTCGTTACGGTTGGATGCCTTCCTATCCTAATAAATCGTCTCGATTTTTACAACGTCAGCCACCAGTGTTAGTGATTACCAGTTAATGATACTGGTTTTGTTTTCATGAACGTATAGAATAGTAAAGTGAGAGACAGAATTTCATGGGAATGAACGGGTGATGGGTGTACGACGAAGTCCTACTATCAACATTACGTCATGGAACTTCCTCATCTACGATGGCAATGATTTCATCATGAATTTGCCGAGAGCTAGGGTTTCCATCCATCGTTTCTTGAACAACGGTCATATCTACTAGTATCTTGTCTATGTCATTTAGAAGAATATGAACGGTCATATACAAAGTGGTTTCCAAACTGTGCGTTGTACATGCAGAAAGTTGCAGCCAAGTTGGCGTCTCGTGGTGCATCGTTGCCTTCTAAATCCATTGAAGTCTTCTGTTTGGGCATATTGAATAGTATTTGTTCTTTTGTTCCTGGAATACTGAGGTAATCATGGTAGGACGTCCCACGGTTTTAACCATATCGTTGGCCGTTGGGGTAAACGGACGATGTCCCTGAGTTATTTATGTGCTAAACACTTGCTTATTGTTTCTGTTTAAAAAAATGCTAATAATGCTTATAAATTCAGTTAAACTAGAGTACCATAGAGTAAGATAAAGAGAAAACCCAGTTATTCGTTTGTTCACTCTTTTTAGTTTTCCTTGATTTTAGGATGGGAAAGTCCTCTATAAGGGTCAAGCAATGTACGGGGCAAAAGAGGCGAAGGATACTGTAAAAGGGAATGCCAGCAGTGGAATGAATCGCATTGGTAGGAGAAGATCGCAACAGTTTATTGAACTACTCTACTAAATATGCTGGACATAGAAATTACCTTCCGCCTTGTTCAGGGCCGATTCGTGCGCCTCAATTTCTGCGTCAGACTGTGCGTTGGGACTATGCGCCTGATATTTGCAAAGATTACAAGGAAACCGGTTTCTGTACTTTCGGAGGTAAGCTTCTAATTGTTCCTCTTTCGAGTTATCGTTAAGTTTTGCTTCTCAATCTTACTATCTTCAATGTTTTCATTTTCTTTCAGATTCTTGCAAGTTTTTACACGATCGTTCTGATTATAAGCATGGGTGGGAGATTGAACGTGACTATGCATCTGGAAGATTAAACAAGGTTGCTATTGTCCTCAGAAATCTGTTTTTGTGGCAGAAAACCGCATTTATTGTGACAGTCGAGCCTGAAAACGTAAATGATTCGCCCTGGAATTAGGCTCGACTACAATATTGGATTACTTTACGGGATGCGATAATACTTCTAAGTAACAATAACGTTATTTAAAGGTAGACGAGACTAACTACGAGATAAATGAGGAAGAGGATGAATTTCCCGAAGAATGCTACATTTGTGGGAAGCCGTTTACATCGCCAGTAGTTACCAGGTTTTTGTAAATTTAAATAATAGTATATGAAAAAGAGTGTACCATGTGTTATAGGTATTCCTTTAGAACAAGTTTTTGGTATGTTCATATTTAGGTGTAAGCATTACTTCTGTGAGACTTGTGCGCTGAATTCGTTCAGGAAATCGAAACGATGTCAGGTTTGCGGAGAAAATACAGGAGGAGTGTTCAATGTTGCTAAAGGTGAGCTGAGCAGTTCACTTAACTTTTTAAACAATGTTGTTAGCATATTAACGATGATACATCCCAATGTTGGTATGCATCTTCTTTCTTGACACCAGAGCGTTTTCACTTCGGTTGTTGATTTTTCCACAGAAACTTTTTTATTTCCACTAATAAAGGCATACTGTGAACACTGAGCACCTCTGTTGTGTACTATTATTGCACATACGCAAATCTCAATAGTTTACTACTTTCTGATAGCGAAAGGGTGCCCCTATTTGTGAACCTCAGTGTTCAAGCACATCAGACACGTCTTTCCACTACTTTTCACCTGCCTCACCAACAGCAGTCTTCTGTTTGGCCAACAACTCCTTCGGTAGAGTATTATTTCCACATTTTTGAGTATAAAATTGGGTGTTTCTTGTATCACGTCTCAACACATTTCCACTCCAATAGCTTATTTTCCCGCATAGATTTTTTTTGTATTGCATTTTTCGCATTACACCTAATACAACACCTGTGTTGATAAACTAAGACGATCAAATGCGAAAAATGCAACAAAAAAATATCTGCGCGGAAAAATAAGCTATTGGAATGGAAATGTGTTGAGACCGATGCATATCGTTCACTCTGTTCCAAGACCAATGAGTTGAGTGTGTTAAGAACAGGACATGCGTTCCTTGCATCAGAACACGAAAATAATGCAAACGGGGCATTCATCGTACATGGAGTAGATGCAAATTTTTTGCAAGACAAGAAAGATAAATTTTAACCATTATGTTATTTCTTGTCCTTGCAGATCTCATTGCGAAGCTCGCAGGTACGACAAAAACTAGAAAGGTAACAGATTCGGATTGCGAGACTTCTGATGTAGAAGAAGCGTCATGTAGTAAGGATGTGAAAGAAGAAGTTATCGCTGCAGACGATGGTAATCCTCAGGAAATCAAGCAGGAATTTTGCGAGCAGGGCGAAGATCATGAGGAAGGGACCGAAATTAAGATGGAAAATATAGAAGAAGATGAAATTGGAGGTGTTGGTGATAGCGAAAGTGAGGAGCATTCCGATTCTCAAGAAGACACTGATAGTTGATGACAGGAGATGCACATACCTCCATTTTCACCTTCGTAATTCCTTAAAACTGAAAAGCTGTTGATCTGTTTGCCTTCTTTTCCTTGATCAGTTTTGAGAGCACATTGTGCGTTTTTTCCCAAGGTTTTCTCATTGAAATGTAGTATTAACATTGTTCAGGAGGCGATTCCTAGCAGCTTTGTGTTTATGATTTTCATTCATCCACGTTCTACTTGCATTGTGGTTGACATCGGCATTGTTGCTGTTTTATTTAATATCAGAACATAATGAAAACTGTTTGAGGTTTATGAGACAAAAGCTGCGGATGTTAGGTATCAACGAAATCGAATAAGCTGTAACGCATACGTCCCAACGGTTTATCGCCTCCTCATCGTGGCTGGGAGGTGTTCCTGGGTGTCGGACTGCGATGTGCAGCGGGATGATTCGTCCCTCCGGCAGAGTTTCCTAAGCTGAGAAGGATTCTGGCATTTCCATCAGGAAGCCTAGTTAAGAGTAAACCAACACTGAAATCCACCACCGTCTTTGTGTCAAAGTCGCATAGTGGCAAATCTCGCTCTGATCCACAAGGGCTGCGACTGCCTGTGGTGGTGAAGACCTGGGGCAGATTTTGGCCAGGCTGACTTCGGGATTCCAGGGAACCAGAATAGCTTAGCCAGCAAATTTCGGGAAAATGGTGGTTCCGTTAGTGCCCGCACGACCAGTAAAGATGGGCCGTTCAAGTACCAATAAGTCAGCATAACGCATAACTGCTTCTGCCAGCTTAGATCAGATAAGGCTCGTGCGTGCTCGGAAATCGGTTGCATCTCTGAACTATAAAATAAACTTATTTCAGGTGGTTCATGAATATAGGTGTTTCAACTGTTCAGTATATTTCTTTAATTTATTCAGCTTACGCGAGGTTGCTAGAAACTTTATTCGGCTGTTGTTTCGACACTTCACTTCTACAGAGCCGTAGTGATACGAGTCAATAGTCCACAGCTGCTCGTCCTTACAATGTGTGCCACCGTTGTCATATCAATTCAAGTCTTGTTGAGTAGATCATCGCTCATGTGAAGTGATATCACTCAGTAGTTTTCTTTTACACAGGACGGTTGTTGATTGCCTGATTGTCCGTTAACAGAAATTTATTTTTCTTCGGACAATCCATCCTGCAGCAGTGCTAAATTAGCTCGCACACAGCAAAGTAATAACTTTCTGAACTAACTTTCGCTTAACTTAGGCTGAATAATCAATGTATTTCTTTGGAATGTATTCAGATTTTGTTTTCTAACAACTTGTGTAAGCTGAACAATCAGTCCAACGAAGTATACCAATTGTCCATCCCGACTTTAAGTGAAAATCAGTTCAGAAAAGTATATCGAAAACGGTAGTGAATTTTACAGCTAGAATATAAACCACTGGAGGCTTTCCAGATCTTTTCAACAAGTTGTTTTCCGTACTCGACCAAAGGTTGTTTCAAACCCACACGTGGCCTTTTGGAGTCCACAAGGCTCATGTTTCAGTCGCCGAGTTGAATGCGATGATATCAAGCTTGTGCTGCGAAGGTGATGAACGCTAACCAGATAGTTCTCCAATTGCACAGATCAGCTGGTATTTATCTTGGGCGTTTAATGAACATGGTAAACAACATGAAAGAGGAATCAAAGAAGCCACCGACCAACTAAAGGAAATCCGCACTCACTTTTTTGGTTCAACAGTACTCCAAACGCTCTGTTATGTAGCTGAGACCTGGGCTGAAACTTCAACCACTTCAAGAATAAGGCGCACTACTCGTTGAGTGCTTGAAAGATGTCTTCTGAAATCTAACCGGCACACATAATGTCTAGACGGGTCGCGAAGCTACGATCTTCGGAATTCACTTCATTTTCGAAAGGCAAGAGGACACACATCGATGGTGAAACATAGTTGGACCGGTCATATAATGAGAAGAACAGGTCACAAACAGACGAAAAGAACTGTAGAGTGGACTTCACAAGGATGCATGCGTCCCCTGGGACGGCTATCTAAACGCTGGGCAGACGTTCTCGTAACCAAAGTCAAACAGCTGTACTTGTAACTGCAGTTGTTTTACAAATCATGGTATGAGACTCAACTCACCACCATGCTCGAATGAAACCACAACCACGAAGGACAACTGCGAAAGAACGAAACCAGTGGAAAATGTACTGATATCCGTACGACTCGTGAAAACGAACTGACCAAATATACACATAGGTGAGTTATTCTGTCCTTGCTGGTTTACTCTTGGATACTTGGATAGTTGAACGGCCCGTCTTCATTGGTTATGCGGGAGTCAGCACAATTTCCATGCGTCTCCCGTTCAGTCGTCGTTCATGGTGGTGGTGTTCTTCGAGCATGATGACGTCTGCGAAGGTTATTGCTAATACCTAAAATCGTTTTCATCTGCGAATTCAGGTGGTTGACGCTAGCCACGAACACTTCCGCCTATCGTGTGGGTGGTTTTCCAAGACGATGTTTGTATTCTGTTGGACGCCACTCCACTGCTCTTTTCGTTCAACTGCCATCTGTTCTTGTTACTATGTGACTCACCCATCTGTGTTTCGCTACCCATGTGTATTCTCCTGGATCCGGGTGGGGTAGGCTTCGAAGACTTGAACTGCGCATTCCGGCTAAACGTTGTGAGTGACGCTGAAATTTCTGAAGATATCGTTCAAGCGCTCTGTGGATGGTGTGCACTTTTCTTGACATCGTCGAAATCTGCGGAACCTACCTCTCTTAGCCACAGAGCGTTGGAAGAACTGCTGAATCAAAAATGTGAGCCCGGAGTCTTGAATCCATTAGTTAATCGGTGGTTTCTCTCAGAGGCCCGAATGTGACCACTGCTGCTCCACTTCCTATTTCTAATTCCTCATGTTGTTCTGCATGTTCACTGAACGTCAGAGTACAAGTACGAGGTGGTTTCTGTAATGAGAGAACCATCCAGCTCGATTTCTTTCTTCACTTTTGCACCATTGGTTCCTTTCGAACTGGGTCTTCGTCCTATTTATGTGCGATCTAATCTTTTCTTTTCCCGTCCGTTTAATCAAATGAGCTTCGTCTCTGCTTCACTGATACTACTCTAAAAGAGAACGATGTCATCTGCGAAAAAAAGGCGATAGGAATTTTCTGCCAGTGCATATGCGCTTTTTGTTCCATTCGAGTGACTTCAACATCAACTGCAGTACGTCAGGAAACAGCCTTAGCCAGATGATGTCGCATTCACAAACCATTTTTGCTATAGGTGTGGTAAGGATTGGATGGAAAAACTGTTTTCGCGCTGTAGTTCTGGTAACAGTCAGCTCTTCTTCGAATATAGGACAAGTGCTCTCCTTGATCGACGAGCACTGCATGCTTGACAAAGGTTAGGACGAAATGCAGATAGTATTCCCAGTGTGTATTCTTTCTTGATAAGTTTGCACGAGGTTGATAAATATATTTATTTTCGGCTAACGTTTAGACGTCTTCGTCTTCCTCAGAGCCGGTGATCCGAGTCGATGGTCCATGCTTGTTGTTCGCCTCGACGTTGCGTCTTCGCCTTCGTGTCGAGCCAGATATTCCTCAGTGATTCAGTGATGCACGATGTGCGCAATGATGTATGTCCGGAAGAAATACAAGTCGTTACCACCGGACATTGTCATTATATATCCACCATCAGCATCGTGTATAAAAGGGCATCACTGAGTGAGGATGCCTCATTCGAGAAGATGGCTCACTGAGGAAGATCTGGCTCGACACGAAGGCGAAGACGCAACGTCGAGGCGAACAACAAGCATGGACCATCGACTCGGATCACCGGCTCTGAGGAAGACGAAGACGTCGAAACGTTAGCCGAAAATAAATATATTTATCAACCTCGTGCAAGCTTATCAAGAAAGAATACATATTGATTAGTCACGCCGAGGTTTAGGGAAGGTCGGTTTCGAAGTATTCCCAGTATTCTACGACGCGTGGCACGCTTCACCATAATCTATGTCGAAATCCCTCTTGCTCAAATTTTTGCACCTCATCTAAGCTCTTCCGTATGTACAAAACGATAATCCTCGTGAACAGCTTGTGAGTACATTCAACAAGCATACTGGACTGTAGTTACGAAAATAGCGCAGTGGTTAGTGATGCCGTAGCTCAAGAAGCAAAAGCACTACTTCGACCCTCGCCCCAACGCTTACCTCCATTTCACGTGGGATGCCTTAGCCCGCTTCTCTCCGACATAGGAAGAAAAATTGACCCTACTAGCGTTCTACGATATTGGTTAAGAAAATGAAACTTTCAAGCAGCAGCTGGAACAACATGCAAAGTAACTCCCACGACCGACTTTCTATTACCCTCAGCACTGATCAAGTAATTCTTCGTATTTTTGTTGAGCAAACGCGAGGTGTTATTATTCTTTATTCACGAATAAGCTGACGTTTCGGCGGATTTCGCCTTCCTCAGAGTCTAGAAAGGTCAAGTTGATAGCAATCTACTCGCCAGACGCCTCCATAACCAAACAAAGAAACCCCAAACCAAGATTTCAATCACACAACACAGCTTTGCACACTCACCGCTTTCTATGAGGTTTCCACTAAGTATGTCACGTAGAGACCAACCGCACAGAAATCACAGGAAGCCCAATGCCCCTCCCATCAGAATAGCAGTCTTATACACTGCCCTATATCACGCGTGATAATGAGGCATTCTTCCCTGCGGTTCATTTTTGGATTTTTTTTTTGGAATTAATCCAGAATGCCTCGAGAGTTTTTCGCGCCGGGCCGACAAAACCAGATGTTCGCTAAGTGGAAGTGCGAGACGAAGGAAAACTTTTGTGCTAAATATTTGGAGGACCGCCTCTGCAGGAGAATAGTGGGCAGGTCAGTGTTGATTTGCAACTCTATTAGGTCTAATGCTATACTTTACTTTGCGGAGAAAATTCGAAAACCTTTTGAGTAGATCACATAACACAGCTTCAATAGAGCACAAAAATATCGCTAAAGAACATCAAACAGATCACGTTAGGATAGGTA